TCTTACTACTACTACTACTACTACTACTACTACTACTCCTACTGCTACTGCTACTGCTACTGCTACTGCTACTGCTACTACTCTTACTACTACTACTACTACTACTACTACTACTACTACTACTACTACATCATTACTACAACTACGACCACGACCCCTACCACCACCACTACCGCCGGTTCTAGTCCGAGCATACCATGCGCTGCAAGTGAACTACAGCTTGCAGCAATGCGTCGATTTGTGGAGATAAAAGTGTTTTGCTGTCCTTGCCGCAGCTGCAACAGTGCGGTTGAGCAAGTGTTTTCGCCATGACTTGCAGCACCCAAGCACCCTGCAGTTTAGGAGTGACTTGGAGACTTCTACACTGTAGACTACTGAAGAAGTCATGATCTGATGCGGATGGTGTTTCTATGGAATGAAGCACCTCGAAATGTTGTGCGGGTGGGGGCTAGGATTTGTAGCAACCGCGTGGGCCTTGCCCCAAAGTGATTCCGTCCAGCGGTCGGGACGTCCCGGCCGCAATGCTGAATTGACATTAAAGGTAGCTCAGGAACGGCCCGTGATTCGGACTTGATGGTGGGTGCTCCTGAAATGATCAGTCCCAAATGCTGCACTTCCCGTCTTTCCCAACTCCGCAGCTGCTGGCGGCTCCAGAGGGAGCATGCCTCTTCCATACAGACACCGCCCGCGCCCGCCGGCAAGACAAGGCCGTAAACAGAGCCTGATTCCCGAAACAGACCCCCGATCGTCTTTGGGGCCACGGTTTCAAAAAGTCGTCAATACATCAGTGTTTCGACGGTATGTAGCGGTACGTAGTGAGACCCGGCGGCTGTTCCTGCAGGCTGGGTGCATCCGGTGCCAGCCGCTGAAGTCTTGTGTGTGGCCTCAGCAAGTGGCAAGGAGTACGGCTGTTGTGCTTGGCTGCTTTGACTGCTTCGAGTATATCGTGCTTCTGTGAGGTAGCCATGGGGCAGGTCATGGGCATTATCATCGGTGCTTTCTCTCAGGCCTGCAGCTCATATTGAGTGTGCAAAGCCAAGGCATTCCACCTGGACTCACGAGCTTTGTCTTGCGATCGTTGGCCCATTGATTGCCCCGGCTGTAATGCGTTTCTGGGGCTTCATCAGTCTTGGAAGCAACTGTGGTCTGTCGTCTGTCAGTGCGCTGCCGGCTCAGCTCTTCCTACCTAACGCAACGAACTGCAGCCATTGGAAGGCCCAGTCCGACCCGCTGGAGAACTTGCGGCTTGCGGTTGAGCGTGCAGAGGCTGCAGGTGTCGAACAGGACGGGGCTGTAGACACTGTCGACCTACATGGTGTGATGAATCTATGGATCATGAGGCTGCAAGCGAAGTCTTTGAGCTCTTGCCGATCCTTGCTTTATGGTTCTTGTCTCCCGGAGGATACGCTCGATGATGTGAGGACGAAGCTTGCAGAGCTGGAAAACGAAGTCGGAAAGGACCCATTTCACTGAATCTTTCGCATGATGAGACTGCCACAGTGGGCGATTGCAGTCGGTGGGGCTGAGCCATGTCTTGCTGTCTGCCAGGAACTTTCGATCTCGGTTCGGCATGCTGTAAGTGGGGAGACGCTCACAGTGGTGCGGCACTTTGAAAGGGATGACACGATGCCGCCCAGCCGGCCAACCGCAGGGAGATTTCAGCAGACACCTAAGATGGAGCAGGTACGAGCAAGACCGTCGGACACACCCGCCTACCTGCGAGAGCATGTGCTGAGAGCCACCGGCATGGGTCTCAGGAAAGCTCTGCACTGATCTGCCGATTCTGCATTCCGTTTTGACTCACGAGACCATGCTCCACAAGCAGCCACGAGCCATGTCACATGGCCGCTTTCTGTATACTGCAAAGCCCTGCTGGCGCAAGGTGACGGAGGTGTGGCTCTTCACTTCCTTTTCCAGTCGCAGGTGTCGCGGACCAGCCATTCAACCTCGTGTTTCCAAATGGTAGGTTTTGTCAATTGTACAAGCCTTGCAATGCTGCATGTGAGACAAAGAGGTTTCCATGCTCGCAGAGCAGAAACCGACTAACAGGGCATGTTTGAGTGAATGTTTTTCCTCGCTACCAATGTCAACAGGACAAGCAGCAAGACAGTGTCGTCGCGTGCAAATAGCCTCCTCGGATGTTCTCTCGCCTACTCGCAGATGTTGTGCGCGCGATGGTTTGAGCTTTGCATGTGGTCGCCCCAAGAACGAGGTACCCGAAAGAGCTGTACAAGTGGTGAGCGCAACCCTAAACCCACCAACCCACCGCTTCTCTTTCTGCAACAGGTCTTGGACGAGAAGGTCAGCCTCCGAGACTCCGGCCTGGAGCTGAGGAATCTTTCCATATGAGGAAGCCGCAGCAGGAGTTGCTCCATTGCAGTTTCCTGCACTTGTGTGCTTTGTCCGAAATTCCAAAATGTTTTCGCCACTCTGTGAAACAACTATTGCCCGACATAAACGCCAAAACCTAACTCTCCGAATCGTTGAAGCGCTGAAAACTTGTCTGTCCGCAGCAGCCCCATGTTCCTCCACCCTGGGGGGGATGCACTGGTAGCCCGGGCGTCATCAGCGTTTGTGCATAAATGCTCTGGCCAATGGGTGCACTCGTGGCATGAACGTTTTCAGTGTTCGTGCATGGATGCTCTGGCCGATCACTGCCTTGATAGCCTGGACGTTATCACCGTTTGAAAATGCATGTTGTGGCCGTGGATGCACTGGTAGCATTGATGGACGTTGTCATCACTTGGGCATAGATGCTTCGGCCAATGGATGCACTGGTAGCGTGGAGGTTAGTGATCACCGTTCGGGCATCGATGTGCTGACTGATGGCTGCATGGGGAACATGGGTGTTGCCGCCAGTTGGAACAGTCTTGGCAAAAGTTGAGAGCGGACCCGAACATAAGTACTAGTTACTAGTGCTGGTTGTACTCGTAGTACAGCAGCAATGAAATAACGCAGAAGTAGGAACACAGCAATATGAACAATAATGGTAAACAGCCATCATGAGCAATGGTTCTGGCAAAGATAGCGAATGATGTTGGTATGACAAGGCGAATGATATTAATCATGATGTTGAGCTGCGCCTCTGATCATGATAGTGTTCATACTGAAGACAGCGATGCTAGTGACTGCGAAGACATTGCATCATTAACGACAATGATGCTGCGCGCGCTTGGCAGCGAGCCATAATGACCATTGCTGCCGTTTCAGGACATCGCAATCAGCTGTGAACTCGCCTGAGGCCTCGTAGATGGTGACACGGTCTTCCTGGTTCAGACGCCGTTGCTCTGCGTGGGGAACTGAGCTGTGGCAAGGGGGGGTGTCGGGCCCGGCAAGGTGTTGGTTCTGGGCTCGTGTATAGATTTCCGTGAAAGAAGATTGGAGGCCACCACGGTATACATTTCTGCCATCATGATGACAGGCTGTAACCAAGATATAGTTGTAGATGGACATTACTTCTCTCCTATAAGATGACAACTATTTCCTAGTTAAACATTAAGAATGACCTAAGTTTCCAGGTCAAATATGATGGTAACTTCTAATAATTAAATCTCTCTTGTAATCCTACATTATTCCATAAGTACATCTTGAATAACCATAAATGACAGCAATAGCCAACAAAAAGTATCATTGAAAGTAGGAGTGCCGCGATAGGAGTCTCATCGCGGCACTCCCGCTTTACTGAGTGATCTGGACAGAGCACCGCTTGGTTTGAGAAGTAGCAGCATCCAGCTTAAGAGTGGTGTCGCATGGGTGGCCACAAACATCCCTGCTCTTTCCAGCTGACCGCGTCCTTCGATGGGACCGCGAGAATATGGTGAGCCCGGCACGGAGTTGACAGGACAAACTAGCGAAGGCGGAACCACGAGTAGTTCCAGGATTATTCCGCGAGGATCTCGAACAGATGTCTGATGTCACGAAAGCTCGCGTAGCAGGGCTTGAGTATGTTCTTGCTTTAGCAGGGAGGCCGTCCAGGGCCAAACCAGAGTGTTATTGATAGTGTCAATTTAGGACGTGGGTCAAATTGCACTCTGAACGATTCACACGAATTCTCTGGTGTAGGGATGTGTGGGGGGGGTTAATTGAACAGCTCATGGGATTCCCTGGTTTGAGTAAAGCGATATCAATAGTCGAGTTTGGTAGCAAAGCCAGTAAAGGTGAGTTTGCTCCACAACTGCTTGCGCAATGTGTCCGATGTCTGGAAGCGTGGCTTGAGAGCACTCTGACAGATTACGGATAGCGTAATAAACTCTGCGACGACGACAACAGCAGCAGCACCACCTCCAGCACCACTGCTGCCACCGCCACCACCACCGCCACCGCCGCCACCGCCACCGCCACCGTCACCACCACCGCCACCGCCACCTGCCGCCGCCGCCGCCGCCACCCACCACCACCACCACGACGACGACTACTACTACTTCTATCACTACTACTATACTACTCCTACCACTATGACGACGACGACGACTGCTACTACTACTACTACTACTACTACTACTACTACTACTATTGCTATGCACGGACTT